CGGCCTGTGATCTAGTAACTTTTGTTAGTTGCCTGAAGAAAGCCTCGTCCACCTGATCCCCCTGCTTCCTTTTGACTTTTAGAAAGAGTTGTAAACATCACATATGCTTTCAGGCACTGTCAGAGTAACTCTGTGAAGGTATTATAATGAGACATGAATAATACAATGAGAGAAACTAACTACTGTAACTACATTTAGATCCAAAAATCTATCTTGTGTAAAATACAGTGCTTAGAAAAAAGTCCTACTCGGTTTAATTGGATAAAAGGCCTCCATGCCTCACAATATTTGCAATACCTGTTTATAAAATTAAAAAGAGAAACCTGCATTAAACATAAATAATGACATTACAGCCAAATATGCAGGTCTCTCTTTAATGGATAACAAGCTATGGTTTTTATTTCTAGAAGAAGATATTGACCTGGTCTCTTTGTAAGAGAATAAATCAGTTTAATTAAATACTATATATACAGAAACAGATATTTTGAGATTTCTTAATGTATTTTGTATTGACAAGGCTTCATTTTGAAATAGTGATCACCTCATATTCAATGTCTGGTTGCTATCACATCCAGTTACTCATGTTATTAACTGATACATATATCAATAATGTGATCTGGACAATTTAATTTTAGTTCCTTATTATTGAGATTTGATTCTCTCCCAGCATGCAACATTTTCCATACTGGTTCAAATCCCTATCCTACATCCCTTACTCAACTGAGTCGTACCAATTAACTCAGTAAGCCACATTCTCAATATTGTCTGCTCCACTGTTACTGAGGAAAAATTCTCCCTGCCTTCTATAGGAGTTTTTCCTAAGCAAGCCCCACTTTCATGGAAATTGATAGCTAAATGCTATTTGGCTTCAATGGGATCAGGCCCTGATTAAGGGGATTAGGATCAGGCTCAGTGGAACTGCAAGTATGAGTAAAGACAGCTCATGTGAGGTTGCAAGATCCAGCCCTAAATTTGTCATGTTACTGATTACTATGCTGACCTGCAGGTGCAGGACTCTTAAACCACTTGGAATGTGAAATCCCTTGCCTCATAAGCTAGGAGAGGTCATTAAGAATCTTCCTCTTACAAATTACCTTGGGGTTTTATCCTGTCACAAATCTCCGCTTTAGCTGAAGCTGCAAGATGATTTTCCATTGAAAGTCTGTTTCACTGTGATGACTTCTGCTGTCTGTGGCAAAGAGGAAATGGCTGAGGAAAACAAACTGCCATTAACTCCTTGGAGGCCAAAAACAGTTATATTTCATATACTATGAGTTGTTTCCCACATGTAGCCACTATTTCAGTTTACTCCACCTGGGTTTTTTGAATCCTGAAGTTCGTAGAGCATGACAGAGCCAGACCCAACCTTTTAAAGGTCCAAAATCATCTTTACAGTATGGTTGGTGTTATGCTTCTCCATGCACAAAGACCAAACAGATCTTTGTGTTGTTTTACATTGAGAGAACAACAAAGTAAGAAAGAACAAGTCTGTATGAGTCTCTCTTCTGCCAGGGTATTTGAGAATAAACTGGATGACAAAATCTGCACATGGGAGGTGTGCTTTTAAATGTAAGGTCTAATACTCTGATGGGCCTGATTCTCTCCCCTGATCCACTCCTTTGTGCCACTCAGATACTGCAGAACATTGACCACACATGGCCAATTGTGAATACCCTCAGTGAGTGGAAGGAAACTCTGTGCAGGTGTAGCCAACACCCCTTCACCCACACCCCAACTCCAGTGTAGAGGACATCCTGGGAATGTAGACAGATCACAGCTAGTGTTCCTTCACTTCTCAGATGTCCTGTAGTCCCTTAGGAATTGTTGCCAGTTAGCATAGGTCAGAGCAGCCCCTAGGTCATTCTACCCTATGCCAGGGTTGGGGTTGGAGTTGTGCAAGGCAGAGAATCAGGGAGTTGTAACTGACTCCCACAACCTGCTGTCCCTTGCACTGAGCAGATCTCAGCAGAGGAAAGAATCTTGCCCTGTTTTTCTAACTTCCGGTGCCACAAACTACAACTAGGCTCTGCAAATCAAACTTCCTCAATTATAAAGGTTTTGCAGTTCCTGCTTAGCTGACAGCTACACTGATAATACTCAAGGCAAGGACGATTACAAACTCATTCTTCCTAACTTGTATAATCTTCAGTGGAAACAGTGGCAAAAATTTGTTCATATCATATCTATGTGGCACTCAAGAATTTAACTCCTGGAAGGACAGTTGTTTCTGAACTTTCTAGGTGGAAGCCCTTGGTATGAATATGCTCTCTTCAAAATGTCATATGAACTGTTCATTTCACAACTGATCTATTACAAAATCCCAGGTTCCACAAACCAAAAACTAATAATGGCTTTTAAGATGTCAGCAATAAACGGAAATATGGAAGGAAGTTTTCTGAGGGACCTTGCAACACTGATCCACCCAACCAATATTGCCCGTATTCCACTATAAGGGATAATTCCAGATGATCCCAGCTAGTGAAGAGAAACTGGAATGAGACAGAAGGGCATTCATTCTCAACACTATGGAACATTATCATTAAACTCTGCATGCAAGGAGTTCTGTATTAAACACAATGGTCCAAATTGAGAATTGGTATGAGTGGGTGGCATGCCCATTGAAGCCAATGGACTTGATTCTCCACTTACGGTCTCCTTGTGTAGTCATTTGCACTTGTCCAAAGTGAGGGCCAAAGGGGTGTAAAACATTGCCAAATCAGAATTCTCCACTCACATAGGTGCTGAAATTTCATGCCCATTTTCTGCAAGTGTAAATGACAACACTGGGTGGGGAGAGTAAGGCAGTGGAGAATCAGCCTCAGTATATTGTGTGTCTTCTCATTCTGCCTCCTCTACCTGGAACGTCCTCCCTGAACCCATGTGCCACCCAATCTCTCCTTCAAATCCCTACTTAAAACCCTCTTCTTTTGGTCAACTCATTTCACTACTAGCAAATCTAACTTACCTATCATGTTCATCACCATGATTTCTAAGTTCCTTCATGCCAGTTGACATTCTCCCCAGATTTTAGTTTTACACTTATAAAATGTAGCTGTTGTTCCAAGATGTCTATATATCTTACTCTTCCTTTGTAAAAAAAAAAAAAAAAAAAAAGTTTACTGCTCACTCACACGGGCTATTGTTAATTATTATTGCTGTAGCACAAAAAGCACACTATCTAGCATAATGGGAACCTGACTGGGTATGCACCTGTAAGAAATACAGTCCCTGCCACAAGGAATTCGCAATCTAAACATATGATGAGAGAGAACAGTTGGAGATAACATTCAAACAGATGGAGGTTTATTTATCTATGATTTTAACCCCTCTGAGGCAGGGAATTTGTCATCTTTCTGTCTGTAAAGCATCTGGGATACAGTTGGTGCAATGCAAATAATAATACAAAGGAACTTATTCTCCTCTAAATTGATGTGTAAAATTCTTTCCCAAAGTACTGAGGCAAAAATACACCGTATAATGCCTATGGTAACCATGCACATAATACTGGTCACAACGCATACGGATTCAAATCATTATAGCAAACAATATGCTTTGATATGCCTGGATTACTTTACAAGTTTACATTTCCCCTTCACCTGTGACCAATAAATAGAGGATAGATGTGGTTAAAGGTCACACTAGCATGTAAAAATTGCAGTGTGGATGTTGCAACTCTGATGGAGAGTGGAGCTAGTCACCAGCACTACAGGTGGGCTTGAGAGCCTAAGCTGCCGCCCAAGCTGCAACATCCACATTACTATTTTTAGCAGCTAGCCCGACTATACCCAGGCTGGAAGACTTGATCCCAGCTGGAGCGCAGACACATCCGAAGTCTCCACAAGGCAGGCAATACTCGGGTTAAGCCAGTGTGACGTGCTGCAAACTGTCTCCATAGGCTACTTCTTTAGATTAAATATGTAGGCAGCTGTAGACTGCATTGAAAAACTTTGCAAGCTGCTATTTGGCTGCTTATCTGATTCATTAGGTGAGGATGGGACTCCTAAAAAGAGAGAGAACTTTGGACCTTTAGCAACTCTGTCCCCTCACAACAAAACTATCTCCTCCCATCCATCCCTATCCTCTTACTACCCCAATTCAAATAAAATATATTTTATTGGCATCTTACGATGTATGAGAGAGAGAGACAAACACAGACTCTGGGTGTGTGTCAGCAGCATCCAGCATTCGCCCAAGACAAGGCCTCACAGCTTATTGTTTGATCCCCCTCGCCATTCCTGATGGGCAGCTGGCTGCTGTGCTGAGCAGTGGTATTGCTGCCATCTTTCCCTGCCCGCCCCCCAACCCCAGCACATTTTTCTTCCTCATTTGTAGAGTGTCTTTAAACTGGGATCGTCTGAGGGAGAGTTCATGTCGCACTCCTTGATATCTCAGATGGTGAAGTAAAAAGTATCTCTGGGTTTTAATCTCTAGCATGCTGGATCCAAAAATTCCCTTCCCCTCCTCCTTCTTGCCAACTCCTTCCCTTCCCAACACCAGCCCTCCCTCAGCCACCTCCCTATACAATCCTCCCATACCCACCCCCTCCCAACACCAGCCCTGCCCCTATCATCCCACCACCCCTCCATCCCTCCCCCACCTATCCCAACACCATCCCTCCCCCACCTATCCCAACAACAACCTTCCCCTGCCATCCCAACACCAGCCTCCCCCACTCCTCCCACTGCCATCCCACCCCTCCCAACACCAACCCGCCCCTGTCATCCCAACACCACCCCTCCCTCACCTCTCCCAGCACCATCCCTCCCCCTC